CCAAATGCTAGGCTTAGTGGTTGACACCTTTGCGTTGTGAGATATGCGTAATATCGTAACCTGTAAGACCGCGCAGCTTAGGTTCCAGATTGTTAGAGTACACATCAGTCCACAAAGCGGGTGGTGGGAGCTCTTTGTCGTTCTTTGCAATTTGTGTGGCTTCATCGATTTCCTTGCGCACTCTGGTGTCGATTTCCTACATTGAAGGCCGAAATATAATACAGATTGTCAAAATCAAATATTTACTACTCCATATTTACCTTAATTTCGTCGTTAGACAAAAGACCCAACTCAATACACAGCTCCTTGAAGGATGTGATTGGATCGCGTTTCTGGCGCACTTCTTGGATTTCCTCACGTGTACGATAGCTGGTGCCGGGATCGGACATGGAGTGACCAGAATAACGATAGGTATTGGTTTCCAATACAATTGGACCCACCTTATTCACATATTCGATGGCGAACTTAGTGGCACTACGTACAGCCAACACGTCCATACCATCGACCCAGATACCAGGTACTACATCACCGCGGGTGTAGTAGTCTGTGTTGCAGGAGCCACGCTCGGTGCTGGTACCCATGGCATAGTTATTGTTTTCACAAACGAAAATTGCCGGCAATTTCCACAATGATGCCATGTTGTAGGACTCAAACACTTGACCTTGATTGGCGGCACCATCACCGTAGAGTGATAGGCAAACGCCACCATTGCCCTTATATTTGCAAGCGAGTGCGACACCAGTACCTAGTGGCACCTATTAAGCAAAAAAGAAGGTTGATCGTACAAAAGAAGGACACACGAAATCACAAATGCAAAAAAAAGTTAATATTTTCTCATCATCATATAACTTACCTGCGCACCCACAATACCATTTCCACCATAGAAATTCGGTGCATACATGTGCATGGAACCACCTTTGCCCAAAGCACAACCGCTCTGTCGGCCAGTCAATTCAGCCAACACGCCCAATGGTGAGACGCCCATCAAGTAAGTCCAACCGTGCACACGGTAGGCAGATATAATGTTATCTTGCTCGCGCATGGCGGCTTTCATACCTGTGGATGACAAATACAAATTCAAGGTTAAATGTTTTTGCTTGTTCTCTTTTTAACTCACCAACAGCACAAGCCTCCTGGCCGGAGTACAAGTGACAGAAACCACGAATGATCTTCTCCTTGTACAAATTACCAGCGGAAGTTTCAATGCGACGAATTGTCTGCATTTGCGTGTACAACTTGGTGGCATCCTCTTTGGTCAAAGTGACGCTCGTTTCGGGTCCTTCGTCGAGTCTATGCAGTTTGAAGGGCTGCATTAATAATTAGAATTTGTTAAGAATACTGAATTTATTTAATAAAATGGTGTTTGTTAGTAGGGCTACAGCTATTTTAATTCAATTTTCATTACATAAAAACCCCTGTAACAATTTTATTAATTTATATTTTTTAAAGACATATGCAAATATTTTGAACCTATACATTTAAAGGATATTTCATTGAATTTTAATTGAACTTTCCGAATATGTACCTATTTCTCATAGTAAAGAATTTCTCCGGTTACCTTCAACTCGCAGTTTAATTGCATACGTCTATTGTTGTCATAAATTTTATACATTCTTAAAATATTTGACTGATTCATACATAGCAACAACAGCACAGTTTTAAAATTTATGACTTTATGACAATATAACGGTTATGACACGTTGTATGTAGTAAATATACTATTTGCTTTGATTTCTTTTATGAAGAAATAAAAATAAATTAGTGAAATCTCGAAATTCCCTCACCACGACATCGCATTATCAAATACTTGACTTAAAAAATAACTAATGACGGGCCCTATAAATTTGGATTTCGATAAGATTTAAGATAAGTTAACATCATCTTGAACTTCGCTACTGTCTTTTTGACCGCAGCTGTATGTGTCTTATAAATGAAACATTAGGCCCAAAAACTGTACACCCAAATTCATAATAAATAAATCGAAAAGTTTTATGAAAATTTAACTTTATAAGCTCTTCAAACCTATTTTATTTTATTGAATAAGGCACTAAACTACATACTTAGGTATATATTTTAAAATTGTTAATTGGTATGAATGAACTGAAGGGATGAAACGGCATTTACGATTTTAAGTAGTTAGTATACATTTACAGCTGCTTTTCCGCTTGCCGGTAGCTATTAAAACACTCCACGTTTGAAAAAGTTTACATACATCGTTAATGTGTTAACAAATTCATCTGGCCTGTGTAAGCATTTTTAGCCAAGTCCGCGCATTGATAACACCACGCGCCAATCGGCTTATGGAAATTAAAAAAGTCAAGCGATAAGCAGGTCCCATTGACGTGAACTTAGCGTGCCATAATAATCAGATTTATTTCTCCGGGCATACATACATACATATGTATGTACGTACACGCATTCATTTGCACAGCTTCTATTACTTTCATGACCTTCAGTAGACAAATATGCGCCTAATTACCAGCGTGGTATACCTAATCCCCTTTTTAATTTTCCATTTTTTAGTTAATTTCCTACATGCATAAATGCAATTTAGCCACCTGACTCGTCACTTTTATTTTCCTTTGCTGTAAAACATGCGATAACACAGCCAACCCACACTACAAATCTTGCGTCAAAAGGTGTTATGTAACTACATATGATAGAAGTATAGGATGCAGAAGATAAGTGCCGTAAGCATACAACGCTACACTTATGAGGGTGGCAAACTTACGCGATTCACTTGTACGGTCGCCTCCGTTGCGAATTTGTTCGATTTTTGTGCACCAGCCTGGGCGGCATTCTGGAAGAAACCGAAAAATGATGAATATTTCCTGCGCATGTAATAATTTGTTGTTTTGATTTTAGCTGTTAATGCCGCTGCTGCCGCCTGATGGTGTAAGCTGCAGCTAACCAAAGGAGCTGCATGCTGGCGCCGGAGCAGGGTCAACATGCTGCCACCAATGGGACGACGGCCACAACCAATTGTCGTCGTCACCAGCGTTCTGCAACTACATACTTTTTGCAATTGTTTTGCCACAATTGGCATTTCGCTGCAACGGGAAAGTGTACGCAACATTTTTCACTAAAATATCGTATTTTTCGCAGGTTTTTTATATAAAAAATAATTTTTCGTGCACTCGAAAATCGCGTAACACCTCCAACCTCGATCGACCAAGAAGAATGTCGACGAATGTCAAGCGAAAGAATAAAAATAATAAAATATGTCATGCCTCTTCTTGACCGAGTTGTGAATGAACCAGTGTAACCACTTTGCGGTCATCACTCTGTACTAATTTTAGGAGGTTACACCACACTGAAAAAATAACATCTAAAAGTTAAGTTTTAACTAACCGCTAACACAGTTTTTGATATAACAGGGGGCCAATTCCTGTTCCGTGAAAGCGTGATGTGAAAACATTTCTCATCACTTCACATACATACAAAGGGTTGGCTTTCCTTTATGGCCGTTCGTTATAGGGGCGGTGGGCGTGGCACCTCTAACCCACCTTTTTGGAGAGGGAATGAACCGCCATTGACAAAAATGCAACCCCCGACCACCTAGGTCCCCTATGGTTCCCTAGGGACCCCTTAGAAAAATTGCCAAAAATCACAATTTTCATTTGCGTTTATTGGCTTGAAAAATGTTAAGTATTCATTTGCACAAAACTTTTTTATATACAAGACATTTTTAAAAACACCCAGTAACCAAAATAGACATCACTGGGGCGGCAGCCCCAGGTTTACCACACAGAAAGGGAATTCTAGTTACCTCATCCTTTGCCAAGGTTACATCACAGGGGCGGTAGCCCCAGTTAGGTCACACAGAAAGGCGAATTCTACCTAGTAAGGGTTATAATCCCTAAGCGCGGCCGAAGGCCGCCTAAGCAGAAAGGAATTCTACGCAAAATTACTGTGGACGCAAGTAAAAATTGCGATTTTTGGTCATTTTTCTAAGGGGTCCGTAGGGAACCATAGAGGCCTAGGTGGTCGGGAGTTGCATTTTTGTCAATAGCGGTTCATGCCCTCTCCAAAAAGGTCGGTTGGAGGTGCCACGCCCACTCCCCCTTCACCCACCGCAGCTTTAACGAACGGTCATAATGGAAAGTTTCCCCCATACAAATACGATTCTTTTTTCGAATGTAAAAAAAATTAATTTGTCAAAAATTTTTTACTGGGAAAACTTTTTTCACAAAGTTTTGTGGCTGTGAAAAATAAAAGTTGGGTCTTTTTCTCAAAACCGTCATCTTGTGATTAAACTCCCAATAATGGAATAGCCTTTAATGATCGAGAATCGCTTAAAAAGATATAATGAAACGATAAAGTGAAAAAATTTAATTTTCACTTCAATGTTTCATAGAACCAGAATTGGCCCCCAGGTTTGCCAATATGTTAAGTTACTGAAATTAAGTCTATACTAACTGAGCTTTTACTCTTAACTTAAGGGTTAAATTGCCTCTTTTTTACCTTCCTTTTATTAGCTCGGGATGTAACTATGTAATATTGATGCGCCTAAAAGATGCAGCGATTTCTATTCTCAAGTTACATACCTGATGACAGTACGAATGGCAATTAAAATAGGGAGGTTTCAGTTTTTTAAACTATAATTTTAATAATACTGTTAAACGTTATAAACTAACATGATTCAATAACAAAACGTTTGCTCAGAAAACAGTTTTCTCGCTCCTTGACAAACGCGGCTTCATTAAAGCATAAACAGACGGCAGCGTTGATCCGGATCAACTCGGGGAATTAACTTCAGTTGATCCGGGTTAAGCCCGAGTTAATCCGGATCAACGCTGCCGTCTGTTTAAGCTTTTAGCAAGGCACTGTGTGGGTTCGTGTCAGAGAACAGCTTTGAGTATGATCGAGCCTTTTTGATCACACTCACTAAAAATCAAGCACAAGCGAACGCCACACTCGGCTACTATGTGTTCGATCGAGATGCATACCCGACAGCTGCTTTGGTTACGAACGAGTCTGTTCGATCACCCTCGCTATAAATTGAGCACAAGCGAACACCACACTCGGACACCCGCAGCTAACCCGAAAATTTGTGTAACAATGAAACGGACACCCGAACATTGCGATAAAATGCAGGACAACAAAGAAATTTACGCTGAAGGTAACTGGCGCCAATATGTTCCCACAAAGCATACGAAAATGTTGTTGCTTTGTGCTTGTGCATACGCAATGAAAAAATTAGAAGCGAAGTAGACAAAAATGTGTTTGCATCTATTTCGTATAGTTTCGCGTGGAAAGCTGTGTGTGTATATATTAGAACACAGCCTAAAACTATGTAGGTACATAAATACTTTTACAAAAAATAAATGTGCTCCGAGTGTATAGGGCTTGGGCATTGCCGATCTACACACATTTATACCTAAATGGATGTAGGCGTCGTGATGCCGCGTTTTGTATGAGCAAAAATATAAGAAATGGTTAAATGTACACTTAAACAAACTACCGAAAAATTCAACCTTCTCTTTACCCTCTACGCACAAAAACTAAGAGCACCGCGATGAGAAGGCAACATTTTTTGTAGAAACAAAAACGTCATAAGCCAATCAAGAAAATTTTGTGCACACTCGGGTTGAAACTCGAACACCCGGGTATATTGAGCTGCAAAGCACCCGAACCCAATCAAGTATATATGAAAAGCAATCGGGTGTTGTGGCCAACATGTTCGTCTTGAGCTCAGTCGATAACGAACAATACTTCTGCTCGTATACAGAGAACGATGCAAAGCGGGTTTTGTTAGATGATCGAGTATACACGAAAATCATGCACCCGCTGCAGATGTCTGGTTCGTGTGTGTGGGCACAGCTTTTGTAAGCGAGTTAAGGGAGTGTCAAAACTCGAATGGTGTACTGTGATCTAATTTCACTAGTGAGCAAACCTTTAATTATAAAAAATAATAATAAATAAAATAAATTTACAAGAGTTCTATTGTCAAATTCCACTTGTAGGGGTACTACTGTACCTTATCTGCGAACAGCTGTTGCACTAATAATTTTTATTCCCTTCTAATTTGTTTTGATATATTGTGAACGATCCACAAAAAAAGGATCGTGTGCGGCATGTTGTGAATTTCGTCAATTAAGCGTGGTTGTGAAAAATTGCATTTTTATCAGATTTGTTCGTTGGGTCCTTTTAGTCATAGCTTCAGAGCCTAAACAAATTTGTTCTTTATATTCCATATTTTTGCATAAAAATGCCGAAAGAACAGTTCCGCGAAGCTGACGTTATCAAGAAAATGTAAACTATATTATACCAAAAGTTATAAAACTCATATTTAACGTATGCTATTATTTTCCTAGTTCCCATGTGCAGTTTTGCATCAGCAGTCCTGAGGAAATCCAACAGGAATCACATTTACGCATCGTTTCAAAAAATCTGTATCAGGGTCAACGTCAACCAGTTCCTTATGGGGTGCTGGACAAACGCATGGTAAAAGATAGTTTTAATGGTATTTACCAATTTTTAATGCATATATTGAATTTAGGGCGTGAGCACCAAAGACGCCACCTGCGACACATGTGGCCAAGGTCTGAATGAATGTATTGGACATTTCGGTTATTTAGATCTCGCGTTGCCGGTATTCCACATTGGTCATTTTCGAGCAACGATTTCAATTTTGCAAATGATTTGTAAAAGTTGCTCGCATGTAATGCTTCGGGAGCCGGATAAGCGCGCATACGAAAAGAAGCTTCTAAATCCGAACTTGTCATATTTAGCAAAAAAGGCCTTGCATGGACAAATTTTAACTAAGGCCAAGAAACAAGCAAAATGTCCCGATTGCGAAGCGCCAAATGGTGGCGTAAAGAAAGGTCCAGGCTTACTAAAGATCTGACATGATCCCTGTAAGGGTAAAAAGCCAGACGCTATCATGACTGATGCGCTAAATGAGTTATTGCAGGCGACGGAAAATAATCGCGAGCTGCAGCAAATGTTAACAACATACAACCAAGTGGAGGAGTTAAATCCCGTAACAGTTTTGGAATTGTTTAAAACTATACCCAAAAGCGATATACCATTGCTCGGCATGACTTCAGATAACGCCAGCCCAGCAAATCTAATTGTAACACGCGTTTTTGTACCGCCTGTATGCATTCGACCTTCGGTGCTGTCCGAAGTTAAGGCGGGAACGTAAGTTAAAACTTAATCAAGTTTTGTTTATATCATTAGCTTAGAGTGAAAAGTTGCCAAGTTCATTTCTTTTTTTTTTATTTACAAAATAATTACTTTACTATTTTCTTTAAGTATATGGCAAAATTTTAATAGAGTTTTGCGTGTGTAAAGCTCGATGTTAATTAAAAGATTTCATAATAATTTGGCGTTATTGAGTTTTCTGTGCCTCTTTTGGACTTAGCTAATTTGCCTTTCGTTGAATATGTAATTGGGAATAAATAAAGGAGGTTCCTTAATCCCTTTGAAAAAGATGCATTTTTAATTTCTCTTGCTTATATCAAAATATCCGCCTGCACAAAAAGCGGACTTAGCAACTTTTTACTCTAAGCTAGCGATGTGTACATATATTTTATTGGATTTCCTTATAGCACTGAAGATGATTTAACAATGAAACAAAGTGAAATCTTGCTCATCAACGATGTCATACAAAAGCATATGACTGGTGGTGGCAAGATCGAGCTCATCCAGGAAGATTGGGACTTTTTACAATTGCACGTAGCACTGTATTTTCACAGCGAAATCTCTGGTATACCGCTTAATATGGCGCCAAAGAAAACGACACGCGGTATTGTGCAACGTTTGAAAGGCAAACAGGGTCGCTTTCGTGGCAATCTGTCAGGCAAACGTGTGGACTTCTCTGGACGAACTGTTATCTCACCCGATCCTAACTTAATGATACACCAAGTGGGCGTACCAGAACGCGTTGCCAAGATACTTACCTATCCAGAGCGTGTCAACCCCGCAAATATACAAAAAATGAAAGAACTGGTCAAAAATGGTACACAAAAGCATCCAGGCGCAAATTACGTGCAGCAGCGTGGTTCAACATTCAAAAAATATCTGGCCTATGGTAATCGGGATAAAGTTGCACATGATCTAAAATGTGGCGACATTGTTGAGCGTCATTTAAGCGATGGCGATATAGTACTCTTCAATCGTCAACCTTCACTACATAAAATGTCCATTATGTGTCACCAGGCTAAGGTGCAACCGCAGCGCACATTCCGCTTCAACGAATGCGCATGCACTCCTTACAATGCTGATTTTGATGGTGATGAAATGAATTTGCACTTACCACAAACAGAGGAGGCACGTGCCGAGGCTTTAATACTCATGGGCAACAAATCTAATTTGATAACACCGAAAAATGGCGAAATACTTATAGCAGCCACACAAGATTTCATTACAGGCGGCTACTTGCTAACACAAAAAGATGAATTTCTCACCAAGGAGCAGGCAATGCAACTGGCAGCTTGTTTTCTAGCTGGACCCGATGCTAATATGCGCATAGATATGCCACCTCCAGCAATATTAAAGCCGCGCAAACTCTGGACAGGCAAACAAATATTCAGCCTACTGCTGCGTCCGAACAAGCAATGCCCAGTGAAGACAAATTTAATAACAAAAGGTCGCAACTACACTAGTAACTATGACTTGTGTGTTCGAGATTCGTGGGTAATTGTGCGGAACTCAGAGCTTATTTGTGGTTCAATGGACAAAAGTACGCTGGGTTCTGGAACGAAAAATTGCATATTCTACGTTATATTGCGTGATTTTGGGGAACTCTACGCCACCAAATGCATGTGGCGTTTAGCGAGGATCGCTTCATTTTTCATACAAAATCGTGGCTTATCTTTTGGAATCAGCGATGTTACACCTAGCAATAAACTGCTTGAGGAAAAACAAAAATTGTTGGAAAGAGGCTACGCCAAATGCGATGAATACATTTTAGAGATGAAAAAGGGTACATTACAATGTCAGCCCGGTTGTACGCCAGAACAAACGCTCGAAGCAGTAATGTTGCGTGAACTCTCCTCAATTCGCGAACAGGCAGCTAAGGCTTGCTTCCGTGAACTACATCCCACAAACAGTGCACTTATTATGGCACTATCCGGCTCGAAGGACCATGATTAACTCAGTGAGAGGGGAGACCAGTATGTTTGCATGTATGTATATAAAAAAAATATTTATTGGACCAAAAAGTAGTGGGTAGGCACTGTGGCCAATGGTAATCAACTATTACCACCTCCGCATGGTTGTAAGCCATGCAGAGTCCGCAAAAGACTCCAGAAGCAGTGTCCGGAGGATGCATCAGACTAGGCCGAGCATACTTTGAAGTGCCATCTTATTGAAACTTAAGAAAGTTCAATTACTTGGCAGTTGAGAAGTGCATGTGCAAAAATTTCCTAAATTGCATAAAGGAAATTTTTGCACATGCAGCAGTACATAGCATGTATTTAGGCGCCTGGTGTTAGCAGACGCGCCTAAACAGTGGGGTTGCAACCTATTTTAAAATTGTAACTCAGTTAAATTGATTAAATAAACGAAATATTGCAATGTGGCTATCAAACTAAATAGTTTTAAGAAGACTTACAGCCGAAAATATGTTTGAGGAGGTTTGTTACCTGTTTGAAAATTTAACTCAATTAAATTGATAAAATAAATGAAATGTTACAATATGGGTACCAAACGAAAGGTATTTTAGAAATCTTGATTTGCAAATATTCTAAATAGGATTAGGGATTATGCAATCTGTAAAATAAACTGAAAATATTGAAATTAAACGAAGTATTATAACTGGTTCGAAACGGAAAGTGATTGGGAAAGCTTTACTAGAGAATTTTTTTTAATGTTTCTACTTATCCAAATCCGGACAGCTTGAAAAAAGAGAATTTACGATATCTTATCAAACGAAGTGATAAGTTGGTATACAAATTACGCAATGGAAAAAAATTAATAAAAAGTTACGGATACAAATGAAGAAATGATAAAAAGCGTAACGAATACATAAAAGTATCCCGTGAAATGAAATAATGAAAACTTAAAATTGTTGTCACCATTCCTTTACATTATAAAACAGTTAAATTTGAATTATAAACAATTTCGTTCGGTCGCCATAGCGCCATAGGTCAAAACATAGTGGAACGGCGAGTGTAGTGAAGAGCTCTCATCGAGCTAGGCTTCAATTGAAAAA